TTATTTCAATTTTTTCAAGTTATTTTTGGATAATTTTTTTGGGTAATCTTTTTTATTGTTCTAAGATTTAACAATAGTTTGTTGCCCTAATGTTTTCTTGATGACTAAGTAGTTTTGTGGTGTTTGCATCAGATTGGACTGCATTTGGTCTATTCTAGATGTTTGTTGAAATTTAATTTGATGTGGGTTTATTGTTAAATTTGCAAATGCAACTAATCATCACCATGTAAAGTCACTTGAAAAGAAAATGAAATTTGTCCCTTGAGGATAGATTTCCTGGAGGAGCTTGAGCAATGAGTATATATGGTTTTACAGAACTATAAGTAATCAGTTTTGATATTAGAATAGTGGGGTTTTATGACTTGGTGATTTTCAGGTCCAGAAGACTTCAGCAAAGGAAAGCCAGAGACCTGTTTATCCATTTGCCGCTATAGTAGGACAGGATGAGATGAAACTATGCCTTTTACTAAACGTGATTGATCCCAAGATTGGGGGTGTTATGATCATGGGTGACAGAGGAACTGGGAAATCCACAACAGTGAGGTCCTTGGTTGATTTACTGCCTGAAATCAAGGTAGTAACTGGTGATCCTTACAACTCAGATCCTGAAGACCCAGAATCGATGGGTATGGAGGTTAGAGAGAGTGTTATGAGAGGGGATCAACTGCCTGTGATGCTGACCAAGATCAACATGGTTGATTTGCCATTGGGTGCTACAGAAGACCGGGTTTGTGGCACAATCGATATTGAGAAAGCCCTAACTGAGGGTGTAAAGGCATTTGAGCCAGGCCTTCTTGCTAAAGCTAATAGAGGAATTCTCTATGTTGATGAAGTTAATCTTTTAGATGACCATTTAGTGGATGTTCTTTTGGATTCTGCTGCCTCAGGATGGAACACAGTAGAGAGAGAAGGTATCTCGATCTCGCATCCTGCCCGGTTTATCCTAATTGGGTCAGGCAATCCCGAAGAAGGGGAGCTCAGGCCACAGCTACTTGATCGATTTGGAATGCATGCACAAGTTGGGACAGTAAGGGATGCAGAACTAAGAGTGAAAATTGTTGAAGAGAGAGCAAGATTTGACAGAAATCCAAAGGAATTCCGAGATTCTTACAAGGCTGAACAAGAGAAGCTCCAGCAACAAATTGCTTCAGCTAGAAGTTTTCTCTCTTCAGTGCAGATTGATCATGATCTAAAAGTGAAAATCTCCAAAGTTTGTGCGGAGCTCAATGTGGATGGATTGAGAGGAGACATAGTGACTAATAGGGCTGCGAAAGCTCTTGCTGCTTTGAAAGGCAGAGATAAGGTAACAGCAGAAGATGTTGCTACTGTCATTCCGAACTGTCTGAGACACCGTCTCCGGAAGGATCCCTTGGAGTCAATTGACTCAGGTCTTCTTGTGATTGAGAAATTTTATGAGGTTTTTAGTTAAGAGAGTTGACTTGTGCAATTTTTGCTGGTCTATGTGTAATTCCTTTTAACTGGTTTTCTTTCTGCTGATCTCCTCCTACTCCGCTCAATTTTTGCAAATATAGACAATATTCATGTTACCATTTGGTTAAGTATACTTCCTTGATTTATGATAATGTGAGACTTCTAATAAACCAGAAGAGAAATTGGATATGGATGCAGCATTTGGTATCTCTTATTGATGCTCAACCTTTTAACCCTTTATTCCCTCCTCCTGTCACTTCTCTTCACAGCTTTTGCTCTTCTTATATACTTAATCAGGGGTTTAACTCTACTTTCCCTCACCCTCGATGTTCTACAGAAGAAAAGTAGATAGTCATTCTCTGAGAAAGATTCGTAGCCTATCATGGGTTACCTTGGCTTCAAACATCCATGACAAGCCCCTTGTTAGTAGTTGAAGATTGCCCCGGCCTCTCAGGATTTTTCTTTGTCATTTTTTAGCAGCCTCGCCTGCAAAAATTACCAGTTTCAGGATTTAGTTCTTGCTTCAAAGAAGCAAACTTGCCTGCAAGAATAGAGTGTGTAGCAGAACTGAAGCCTTGAGACGGTTTATAAATTTATTTTCTATCTTGAAATTTCATAGAAAATTCTGGAATTACAGTTTTATGTACGAGGTAAGTAAACCAAGGAAAAAGATTTTTGAAGCAAATCCCACTTCAAAAATCTAGGGTTCTAGTTTAGGGTTCAGCTCCATTCCAGAATTTTGGCGTTCTCTCTGAAAATCAACCAAACCAGCATTTGAAAGCTTATTAACGATTTATTCATTAGCCTCTACTAGCAATTGAAAAGCTCTCCGGTTTCCCAGTTTCCAACCAAAAACTATTGATATCAGTCCACAAGCTCTCCCCTTCCTAGCTTTTCCATCTCTTCCCTAAAACCATCCATGGCAGTTTTGCGCAAAGTCACCAGCACCTTAAAGCTATCATTTTTCCCTGCAACTGACGAAGACGAAAAACGCAAGAAAAAGCAAGGCTCAATACTACCAAGGAGATTTGTCGAGAGTGGCAAAACATTCACAGGACCTCCCCAACCAAAATCCACTGTGGAATGACCCAAGTGTCTCCAGTCCGGGAACCCACTCACTTCTTTCCCTGCACTAATCCCATCTCTGTAATGCAGCTCCTGGAAGTCGATAAACGACCGTACATACTCATCAGTTGAATTGCTTTTACTCTGCTTTATCAGCTCTGCTGTCTTCTATAGTGGCTGCTCTGTTAATTCTCTGGCTGTGAGCGAGACATACATGGCGACGCGACCATTGCCCCAGTACCCAGCCGGTAATGGTGGATTTAGTAGTTTCCTGATGTTGATTTGAGTATGCAAATTTCACCTGCTCCTCACTTTGAATCCTCGAAGCTCCAACTCTGTCATTAAATTAATTAATTAATTAATTAACATAATTTGTTTAATTAATTTTAAATTAACTCACTTTGCGCGCCAAATGAATGCACCCAGAGCTTCAAACGTGGTAAAGCTCAAACCAGATTTCTGAAACAACAAACTCTTCAACCGCTTCAACCACTCCTCCTCTACATGAAAGCATTCTCTACCAACCCTTCCAGCTACCTCATTGTACGGTTCAAATCCCGTATCGAGTTTCAAAAATTCTCCTACCGGTGCAAGAACCCGGACCGGTTCTCTCGGACCCAACAAACTCGTTCTCTCCCAAATCGGCTCAACCCGAATCCGGTTCGCATCACGGGCCAACTCCGCCACCGCGTTGAAAACCAGACTGGCCCCTAAACCGTCGCAAAGCGCGTGTTGTGTCGCCGCGCCGAGACAAAATCCTCCACACTCGAACACAGTGAGCTGTAAAATACACGGCTTAGCCATTCCCTCCTCCCTGCTCGGGTCAGGCACCAGCTGTTCAACCAAATCTACGTCCGAGCCATCCGGGTAGTTGACCGACTCCATCGTGCAGTCCGCCGTAGCATTGACCAGCGAGATACCTTGTCCGATCTCGTAGGTTAACTAGAGGCGGTTATCCAGAGCACGGCGGCGGAGAGAGCCGGCGAGTGGATAGTAGGAGACGAGAGCGGAGGAGAGCGCGGCGGAGATGACGCCGAAGGGTAGGAGGTCACCAGAGTTTGCTTCATTGCTGACGTAAGCGCGGAGATAGCGGAAAGTGACGTTGAGGTTGGGGGTCATTGTCGAGGTGGGGGAGAAGAGAGAGGCGGTGGCACGGAGGGGAGAACGAGAGAGGTGTCCGTAATTTTGACCTGCATTTTCTTTTTGAGAAGATTTAATTTGTTGCTTGAAGTAAGAATGGAGTTGCCCTTAGGACTCGTTTGGATGAGAATTTATGGAGAGTAGAAGATATCAGTTTGAATTGTTTGAGACACGACAAT